TGCTGACAACACCAAGCCAAGGGTTAAGATCCCCTTACCGGTCATCTTTTATTTAAAAAAATAAAAATAAAAAAAAGGTCTGTGCTTTAGGAAGACTCCTTTGGACAGATCGACTGTCAAGACTGGAGGTCATGAGACCAGGAAGGAGGCTGGGACTGAGACAGGAGAGGAGGGGCCTGAATTGGGGCGGGGGCTGTGGGGACAGAGAGGATGAAACGGCTTCAAGAAATAGTTAGGTGGCAGAAGGCTGGGGCTAGCTGAAGAGGATGTGAGGAAGGAGGAGACAGATCGGTTTACCCTCCCATCTCCTTGCCAACATAGGGTATCTTGGTGACCTGTGTCAATCTCAGATGTGAAAAATGGTTCCTCACTGAAGTTTTAACATGCATTTCATCTTGGAAGGAATTCAACATTGCAATTCACCACCACGAGGCCCAACACACCCTATTTCACAGAGGGGACAGCGAGGCTGGCTGTGGAGTGATCCCTGCTTACCACATCCACCTGGACGAGCAGGACCCGCAGGGCGAAGTTCTTCCCCAGGCTCTGCAGCCGCTCATGGATGTAGTCTGGGTGGAGGTTGTGGTAGCGGAGGCTGGCAGGGGCAGAAGAGAAGGAGGGTTGGGGGTCTCTGTGTCCCAGAGACCACAGAAGCCCTTCTGCACTCTCACTGGGATGCAGACGGCTTGGACACCAGCAGCCATGAGCACAGCACAGGTGGACAGCCTTACAGGGATCTGAGACCCAGAGAGATTTAGTGACTTGCCCAAGGTCCCTCTTTGAAGGGGCTCAGCGGGTACTGGCAGTGAGGGCTGCCTGGCTTGGTTCCCTGGAAGGCTGGACCCCTGGCTTTTTCACGGAGGAGGGGAAGAGACATGGGCTTCTGGGGAAGAACAGGAGCCAGAGGCCCTAGAGAGGGGAATGCTGCACAGCTGGTCTTGGGAAGCTGGCAGGGCGGGGTGTGGGGAACTAGGGTCATCTCTGCCCAGCAGCCTGCAGCACTCAGCCTGCGTGAGGATGGGAACTTAGAAGTTTCGCTTCCTCTGGCCCTGTCTGCAGAGGGGCCCCAGGAATGGAGAGGGAACTTGTTTAACTACGGTGGAGGCTAGGGAAATCCTGGCTCTTGTCAACTCCAGTCAGGGCTGTCTGGTACACAACTGACCCAGTCCCCTCCTCCCTCAGACCCAGCAGTCCAACCCCTGCCCACCCCCAACTCTTGTTGCTTTGGACACCTTCAGGCTAAGACCCCTTCCTCCAACACAGGGCCACAACTAGGCCCAGAGCCAGCAGGGATGTGCCCAGAGGACTCCAACAGAATGCCTAGAACACCAGAACACAACCCTCCCAGGCCTCGTAGGGTGCCCTTCCTGAAGGGTGCGCTGGTGCCCCAGAACTCACCTGAGGAAGAGAGCACAGGTGCTCTGGCCCAGCACATAGTCAGGGATTACATCACCAAACTCCCAGGGCACATTGCGCACAAACTTCAGCACGGGGTTGCCCCTCTAGGGAGGGAGGAAGGGCAGAAGCCATCAACAAGGATGACACTTGGACCACAGCCTCCTCTTCCCAACACCTCCTGCCCTCCTCCATGCTAGTGTTGGGTCTTTTCCAGCTTCTCCCTCCTCCTCTTCCCAACTCCTCCTTCTCAGCCTGGAATGTCTGAGGTGCTCTGCCCTAGGCCCCTCCTCTCCCCCCAGCCCCAGGCCTTTACTGAAGGTTTCCAGGTCTGTCTCCAGTTCNTGCATATATTGCCCCTTTCCCCACTAGAACATCAGCTCCATCAGTGACAGAGACTTTATCTGTTTCCTTTCCAGCATTAGATCCTCAGAGCAAAGAACACCATTTGGCACTCTGTGTACATATTTGTGAACTAAATAAGTGAAAGAATCCCCATTTAAATGCACTAATGGGTTAAGTCACTTGCCCAAGATCACACAGCTAGTGAGTGGCAGAGCAGGGATTCAAACTCAGGCTTGTGTTAGTTAACGCATTTTGAATACATGAACAAACCTGGAGACAGGAAACATAGCTGCACAAACATAATCACAGCCCCATTAAAAAGAGCTGGGGCACCCTCAACCCACACACAGTTGTTGAATGAATGAATGAATGAATGGTACCTCTAAGAATAAAGTGGCTAGAACTCAGATCTCCTTCAACTGCCCACCACAGTCATCCCTCTAACAGTGTTTTCCACCAGAAACCTCAAAGCCTCACTTCTCCATCTCCCTTCTCACCTGCCGGGGGCTCACAATAATGCTGTTGGATTTTGCCCCGGGTTTCAGAGCCTGGTTGGGGGTCTCTCCTTGCTGGGGTTCTGACTCTGTGGGGCACGTGGCTTCAGCTCCTCCTGGAGGCCGTGAGATGGCATATTCGGCGTAGGTCTGAGGGGCTGCCTGGGCCGAGGTCTCCACGGTGGCAAGGCTCCGTGTGGATTTGAATAAGAGCTTGGCCTATGGGGAGGAAAAGGGGTTGTAGGGGACCTAGGAGAGAAGATGTGAGCCCCTGTGAGCCCCTCCCCTCTCCTCAGTGTTGGCCCATCCTCCTTCCACCCAGTGCATCTTCCAGAGGCAATGCTATAGGGGTGGGAACTCAAAATTTGAACCCAGCCACTTCTCCTCATCTCGTCAGCCTCCACCACCTCTCCCTTGGACCTCTGAAGTTACCTCCTCATTAGCTCCCTGCCTACAACGCCACCCCTTACAGTCTGTTCCCTAAACTAAGTTATCACGTCCTTCCTCTGCTCAGAGTCCTTGGGTATCTCCTGCCTCAGGGTAAAAGCCAAAGCTGTCACCATAGCTCACAAAGCTCTACATCTGTCCCTGCTCCCTTGCCTCAGGGATCACACCTCCTACCATTCCCCCTTTCTTTCTCTATTCCAGCCCCACTGTCCTTCTTACTGCCCTCAAACAGGCTCTCTCCCACCTCAGGGCCTTTGCACTGGCTGGCCCCTCTCCCCCCCAGATGTCCACATGGCTCATTCCTTCACCTCTTTCACATTCTGTTAAGATGTCCTCAGAGAGGCACTCCCTGACCTTCCTATCTAAAGTAGCTCCTCTCCCCCATCACACCCTATATCCTTAGCCCCCTTTCTTTTTCTTCATAGCACATGGGTGACAGCCAATACTCCGCACCAGCCGATTGTTTTCCTGTGGGACGCAGATTTCAGTGGAGCCAGGCACTTCAATTTACCAAAAGATGGCAAAAGGGCAGACTTATTTTAAACTGCAAAACCTTATAATTCTTAAATGTCAGCAACAAACTCACCTCCTGAAAAACCAAGGTGCTAGTCACATTAAAATATATCGCAGGGCCATGGGCTCGCAGCCAGTTTGCAGCCTCTGCCTTAGCCCTCTTTTAGAACCACCTGCCATTTTACACATGGGTAAACTGAGACTTGTAGAGGACAGAGAGCTGTTTTCCCAAGGTGACGCTGGCCCTAGCATCTTTTAACCCACACTGTGGCGCCATAGGCCCCTTCCTGTCCCCCTTCCTCCCAACACCCCCAGCCCCCTAGTGGTCCCCCATCTCCTCGTCCTACCCCTGCAGGAGGGACCTCATCCTCGTCCAGAGGTATGACAAATTTCTTCTTTGTGGGCGGCCCCGCAGGTGGTGGCACCCCCTCCTCGTTCTTTCCAGGGTCCATCTGGAGCCCGAGAGAGAAAACGTGACAGCAGGAACGAATGAGACATCGGCGTCTGCATTCCCATCCCTCCAGCAGAAACCCCACTCACAGCCATCCCCGCCACCAAAATCCCAGGATTCCATAGCATCAAGTCCCAAACACCCAGTGCCCAAGGTTCCACGGGTCCCGCCTCATTGATCCTCCACCTTAGGCTCGCCCCGCCCCTTACCGGTCCAGGTGTGCTTTGGCCCCGCCCCTCGCGGCCCCCAGGCTCTACCCGCTCCGCCCACACTGTCCTCAGCCTT